GCGCCGCCAGGTTTCGGGCCAGCCTGTCCATTTTGTGGCAACATCTATGTCAGGGACTGAAAACGGAATCTCCTTGCGGTTGGCGCGAAAAGTGGGAGTGAGGCACAAGATGCTCGATTCTGCCGCAAATGCGGTCAACCCAGACCAGAGGCGCGGCGGTCGTGCGCTGGCAGGTGTCAGAAAGGCCGCGGATTGCCATGCCAGGTGAAATCTCAAGTGTCCCCGCAGAGCCATGGCCTCAATATAGCCTCAGCTGAGTCAGGCTGAGGCCGAGGCTGGTGGCGAGTGCAGGCTTCGTCGGCCAAAGGGAGGTCCGGGAGCTCGGCCCCCTGGGTCTGCGCCCAGCAGGGGGCCTTCGCCGTTTTCCTTCCGCGCCGAATGCACAGGCGCCGAGAAATGTCACTGCCTTCTGCTTCTGCTCGCCTAGCTCTGCTGAGTCTGCTCTGCCGGAGGCCCTCGGCCTCAGCTCCTTCACGCCTTCGACACCTTCGGTTCCTTCAGTGTCAATCTCAGACGCGTTTTAGAATTTGCGTCTCTGCCCGAAGCCGGTCCCCGGCCGCACTTGGGTTTCCAAGGCGTGCTCCAAGAGGCACCTGAGAGACTGTTCTGCTCTCGATCTGTCCTCCTGCCTACGCCATCCGATCCCATGGGCCACTGGCAGGGAGCATGTGGTGAGGGAGGCGTCTGCACCCGCACCGCAGGCGCTGCAGGGGCGCGGCTCTGCAAGTGCTCTGCCCGCGGCGACAGCACAAGCCCAGGCGGGCGCGGTTCCCGTTTTGGGCGCCATGCTCCCCCTGGCAGCGGTGCCGCAGGCGCCTACAGAGCGAAAGAGTTCATGCAGACTCTGAGTCAGTCTGAGTCTGGCTTTTGATTCTAGGCTTCATGCATAGCTGAGGTGAAGGAAATCGTGGAGGTCGCGTCGACTGCAGCCACGACGCAGCCGGAGGACGCAACAGCCCCTGTGCGGTACATCCGGGACAGCGCCTTGCAGATGTGGATGCTGCGTTAAGCCTCTTGGAGGACTCAATGAAGCAGTTTCAAGTGGTCGGAACCCCGGGAAGGCTGCCGATTTGCCGACGCAGAGGGAATTGTACTTGGAAAGGTGATACGCGAGAAGCCGAACCTCCAGTTGGTGGAGAAAGTAGTGGAGGTGGAGCATGGTGGAGCAGAACTGCAGCAATCTGCTCAGAATGCAATGCGGCAATGCGCGCCACCGGTGCACCGTGCAGCAGGTTCCTCGTGTGTCGGTATCTGACAGCACTATCGAGGCAGCGCGGCTGCATTGCAGCAGTGCTCTTCGCGAGCGGCAAGGGCGCGCCGCCTTGAGCGCCTTGCGTGCAGGTGCCTGTCTCGCTGGTACAAGAAAAGGTGGTGGAGGCCTGGAGGACTTTCCCAAAGTCACATGCAGAGCAGAGAGCGCAGAGAGCGCAGAGAGCGCAGAGAGTGCAGAGGTACCCGAAGTGCAGTACCTGGAGCTCTTGAAGCAAGTGCCGAAGGCTGGAGAAAGCTCTTCTCAGCCGACCGGCTCAGCGATTCCCGGCAGGTGCAATACCAAGAGAGGCTCCTGCAGGCGCATGTTGGGGGCTTCCGCCGGGGCCGCCCTGGGGCGGGCGGCTGCTTTTGACTCGCAGGTGGAGAAGTTGGTGGCCGAGGCCAGAACTGTGGAGGTGGAGGTTCCTGTGGAGCTCCAACAGGCGCCAGCTTTGCCATTTGCCTTTGCCAGCACATCTGGGCCGTTTGGCCTAGACAGGAGCGGCTGGTGGAGGTGAGCCAGGCTCAAGCGCTGGAGATCCGGCGCGAGGTGCGGAAGGGGAAGGGACCCGAGGCGAGGAGGGCTCGCTGCGAGCATTGGCGAGCAGCTGCGAGGTGGCGAAGGTGCAAAGAAAGTCTCTTGCTGCTCAGCGCATAGAGTCGCAGCAGAGCCCATGTCCACAAACAGAGCCTGTCCGGAATTAGGCCAAGCACTTTGCAAAGCCCGTGGTGCAGTGGAAGGAGAGCCTGCGTGAGGCCCGGGCCCAGGGGGGAAAAGGGGCGCGACATGCAGCGACCGCAGGTCCCGCAGACGACCCTCCGGGAGCAGATCCAGGAGGCCCTTATAAGAGACATGGATGTGTCGTGTCAGCTTGGGCCCGGCGGGCCCCAGCCACACTGCGCCTGCTCTTGCACACTCAGTTGGAAAGGCGTCGTCACAGCTACATCGCTTCTTGCGAGCGCTCGCGCGTTTCCTGGGGCACTTGGCAGAGCCCCAAATCGACCTTCCAAACATTGAGAATGGTCTGGGCTTCATGGTCGTGGGGTTGCAGTCTGCAGTGGTGCAGGGTAGAACACGTGCAAGAATGTTGAGCTCGTTTCTCAAGATGCGAAGGCAGCATGGCCCCACTAGTAGCACCAATCCTGAGTTGTCCGTCTGCGAGACGCTGTGATGGGCCGCAGAAGTCGTGTTGCCCGAGAGCTTGTGATGCACTTCTGCTTCGCTGGTACGCGCCGCATGCCGCTCCCTCTGTGCACTGAGTGGTTCCCACAAGTCAGCTGATCATTGAGCCATTGACCTATTGAACCTTGGAAGCTCTAGCACACTCTAGCTCTACTGTAGCAAGCTCTCTGACAGCAGTATGTCCAGAATGGTGCGAGGTCGTTCGAACTCGAAGGCTTGGGACTTTGAAATATCTTCGGAGGTCTGAAGTTTGAAAGTTTCGATCTTTCAAGGTTTGAGAGATCCCTCACCTTCGTCCCTGATCGGGGCCTCGTTTGGGATCATCTCTTGCGACGTTCAAGTTATATCACCCTGCAAGCGAAACGACCATCGCTGCGATGTTTCCAATCAAAAATAAAATCGAAATAGAAGATGTTGCGACAGCAGCGACAGCGGAGCAGCCGCGTACCCCCCCCCCGTTGTACCTGTCCTTGCCATGGCTGTGGGTTCCACACCGGGCTCTTCGGTGCAGGCTTGTACTTTGAAATCACAGCCGGTTTCGCGTACATCTGAAGGCAGGGCTTGCGACATGACCTACAGGGTGTAGGGTCGAGGAAAGGTTCGACAAACATATACATGAATACGTGCTGTCATTGTGGAGTGTGCAACCTGTCGTCAGAGTCAGATCTCAAAATTCTGTAGGACGTGTCGCGCGCAGTCGGTCATCCACGTCTGTGTCGTCTGGGGTAGCGGTGAGGTTTCACACTTGAGCGCTCGAACCTGCTTCAGCGCAGTTTCTGACGTGCTTGGTGTTTCTCCGAGCTGTGTGATTTCCGCTGCGGCAAAGTGTCACGCAACAGTTGCTCACGTGTATGGTGTTTCGCCGAGCTGCGGAATAATGCCTCGATTTGGCAGTGCTCCGTGCCGAATTTGTATTGTTGGCCGCACAACGAAAGTTGAACGGCCAGCTTGGTTCCAGAAGCCTACCAGGATTGACCCGCCTCGTTTTGGGGGCGGTGCGTGCTTGATGATGCCAAACCTGGGCTACCTCGGCATACAAAACAAATGAAGGGATCAGGGGGCCTACGCAGACCCTAAGGCTTCAGGAGTTAAACCAACTCGAAGCCTTGCACAAGCAGCCTACAAATACAACCAGACGAATATGAACTTAGCCAGGTTCTGACACCGTCATCGAAAACCCTCGTAGACAAAAGCCAGGATGTACACGGTACCATTCGGTTCGTTTCTGTTCTTAAAAGAGAGCGTTTCTGCGCGGTTCGGCTCAATGAGGAGACGAAAACTCTGAGGAGTGAACCCAACTTGAAACCTTGCACCGGAGACAAGGCACAAGTGAAGCCTGAGATCAGGGGCACACGCGAAGCCTAAACCAGGGGCACAAGTGAGGAATATGTCGTTGAACGAAGCCGGAGTTCGGTTCTACGCAAGCAACGGCGTCACACTTCGAGCTTTTCTCAAGCTCGCAAGCTTCAAGATTTCAAAACAGATCGAGCTTTCGTACTCTCGAGCTCGACACCCAAGCTCCAAACCTTGGCCGCGGCCGAGTTCGAACGGCCCTCGAAGTGTGAGAGTTTAGAATTTCGAAAGTTGGAAGGTTGAATGGTGTCCTGAGGTCGTTCGAACTCGAAGGTTGTAGATTTTGACAGCTTCAAACTTAGAAGTGGGACGGATGTTTCAACCCTTGAAGGTTCGAAGGTTTCAAGGGCGCTGGAGTTCGAAGGTTTTATCGCCGCGATACGCCAAGCAAACGGGCGTCAAACTTCGAGTTTTGAAACTCGACAGTTTGGAGTTTCAAAGGTTGACTTCAAGTTCGGTTCACGGCTGGCCACTGAGTTCGAGAGTTTGAAAGTTCGAAAGCTACGTTCGAGAGATGTGGAGTCTGAAATTTCGATAGTTTGAGAGTGAGGAGGGCATGAGAGTTCGAGAGGCTGAGAGTTCGATTGTTTGAAGGGTTGACAGGCGTCGAGTTCGATGGTTTGACGGTCCGCCGAGTTCCGAGCTTGAAAGTTTTAGAGTTCGAAAGGTTGAATGTTCGAAGGTATGGGAGACTCAAACTTTGCAATGCCGCACCTGGTCCCAAACTTTAAACTTGCCCCCTCATCGTTAAGTTAAGCTCGTGTTTTCACCACGCCCCTTCCGTTGGAAGGTGGTGCCTGATCTCATGTCTTGAACCCACCCCTTCGGTAGGCGATGGCCTTGCACAACTATAAGGGGCCGGGACTGCAGCCATGCCATGGTTCTCCCTCTGCCTGCGATTGCTGCGACTGCTCGCTTGCTTCCCTGCTCTGGCCGGGGGGGCCGAGGGCTCTCGCCACGAAACCAAGCTATGATGCGGACACTGCTGGCCGCCAACTCCGTCCGCCGTTGGGCCGCCGTCTGAGACGCCGGCCTACGGCTTTCCTCAACTCTGACTGCGAGCAGTGGGCTGCATCTGGTGAGTGGGATCCTTTTGCGGGCCTTTGGACACGAGCGGCACCGCGACTGCGGGCTCGACGGCCACGCTGTGTAAAAGAGGAAGTGGACAGCACCAGACCAAAGTGGTAGTCGCCCATCGCCAGTCAAGGGAGGCTTAAGCCTCAGCCCAAGCGCGCGCCGCCCTGGTCAGAGCAGTCAGCGCCTTCACTTCCCAAGACAGCGCCGCCTCGCGCTGCTCCATCACAGTCTTACGCAGAGACCCATTGGCCCTCGCACCAGCACAGGAGCGCGCAGCTGCGTCAGCTTTGGCGTTGAGCGCCCTCGCCACCACTTCCCCGCAAGGCGGCGGCCGCCACGTTGAAGGAGCAGTCTTCCCATGCGAAGGAGTCCACCACAAGTGAATGGTGAAGCGCTGCTCCAGCTCTCTCCTCAAAGCAACAAAGCGCCGGCTAAGTGTCCTCCACCAAGAGCAACCGTGATGGCAGGCTGGCAGTCACACACAACATGGATGACTCCGGAGCCCGAGCAAAGCTGCAAGCCTCGCAGCAAAGCCCAAAGAGCCTCAATCTCCGCACGAAAGGAAGACTGGTCCTCGCCCTGCACGCCCAGCGAAAAGGAGCGATCAGCAAAGGAGACAGCCCACGCAGCCAAGGAGCAGCAAGTGCTGCCGTCGACGGCCACCGTCAGGGAGCTCTCCGACTGAAGCAAGCCGTCGAGCACCGCCGCAATATCCTCGTAGACGTCCATCGGGTCGAGCACGTCAGGAGGTCGAGGAAGCTCCGGGACCACTCGCGAGAACAAGCGCTCCTCTGCCCGGTTCACAGGGAGGGGAACGTTCTCTCTATACTGCGCGGTAGCGCTACAAGCCCAGGCCAGGTGAGGTCGCGAAGGCAGCTTTCGACCACACAAGCACACTTCAGCAGAGCCGGGAGCAGCACCGCCATCACCACGAGGGCCACGTCCAGCATTACGCTTGGCCTTGTGCCACGTAGAACACCCAGTCGCCAGAGCAGAAGCACGGTCGATGGCGTCCGCAGCACGGGCAAACATCTGGCGATGCTCAGCGAAGAGGCACAAGGAACCACGAGGGGGCGCCGGAAGCACCAGTCCTCCAGCAAGCTCGTTTTGAGGGTCGGGCCGATGCAGAGAACGAAGAACCCGCCCACAGCCAGCCAGCCCAGCACGTCGTCGTTCGTCGCGAAGCCACTCGAAGAGCACCTCCATGGAGTCGACGCCAAGCTCGAACCAGCGCACCACACCGTAGGAGTCGCGCCGACAAATGAACCGGCCACGCTCGGCAGACCACCACTGCAGCTCGTCAAGCAAAAGCCTGGCACCAGGAAGGAGCTCCAGCCACCGCTTTGCCGCAAAGTCGACGCTTTCTTCCTCAATCCAGACCGGCGGAGAAGCTTGCAGCCGAGCCGCTTGTCGCAGAGCCGCAGATTGCGCAGCAAACAGTGGGTGGCACTCCCACCCAGCAACCTCGTAGCCAAGCACCAGAGGCGCGTCCACAGCCAAGTCCTTAAAGATGGCATGGCGAAAAGCACTCAGCACTGCAGTCAAGGCCTCCTCACCGACAAAGGCGTGGCCACCAGCCCAGGTGAACAGGGGCAACACAAGGCTCAAAAGCAGGCGCCTCTTGTTTGGCAGGCTGTGAGTGGCCGCGCCGATCAAGCGCAAGCGACGCTGTACCACCTTCAGGTCAAAGTCCCGCAGCGAAGGCACCATAGCAGGATCCAAAGGGACCACCAAGCCAAGCACCACCAACACCTCAGAGGAAGCGTAGCCAAGCTCATCGCGCAGAGCCAGAGCAGCAGGGTCGGCACCACGAAACGCAAAGCGACACTTCGCCACATCGCAAGTGAAGTCGTAGGCAGCGTCCACCTCGTCACTGCGCAACTTGCCTTGGCGAAGGGCCTCAGCAGAGCGCGACCACAGCAGCCGATCGTCGACAAAGCTGCTGCAAGAAGAGAGCTCAGCAGACCTGCCAGACTCGACAAACTCGTGCCAAGCCCACATCACAGTGCCAGCCAACGAGTGGGGAGGCTGCACACCTGGGGGCGACCGCCCGCCCAATCGACGACGAATGATGCAGGATACGGCTGCGGTCAGATGTTTCTGCCCCGTGCCTGGCTGCGGCCTTGGGGATCCCCAACGTGCTTGTGGGTGGAGCTCGCACCACAGCATGCGCGCTCACCTGGACGAGCACTGTTCTGGCGCCTGTGCCCGTGGAGTACCTGCGCGCGCGCAACCTACACTGCTGCAGCGAGTCTGGCCTGCTGGTGGCGGCCCGTTACAATGGCACCCACCCTCGCTGCCGCGCGCCGCCCGTGCCAGGGTTCCTGCTGCCCGCGATGCGCGAGCCGATCCGCTCCTACCGAGCCTGGATGAGATTGCGGAGGCCCCCGCCCTCACTGTGCGGCACGTGCCTCACGGGGCTCGGACTGTTTTGGCCCAATGCCTGGCTGCGCAACTCGGTGGCTGCTTGGCAGGAGCTCCTCATGCTCCCCAAAGCGGTTCTCGGGCCACCCGCCCGGCGTGTGGAGCCCGGCACCAAGCCCAGGCCGCAGCCTCTACCAAAAGGCGGTGCCAGCGTTGCTGGGCCGGCGAGCGCTCTGAACTGTGGGACGACGTCGCGGACCGGCCCCGCCCACCCCGCGCAGGCGCCTCTTCTGCTGCGGCTCGGCAACTGTGCTGCTGCCGCCTGGCTGCCGAAGGGGGGTTCTCCAAGCGTGCGCCTTGACTGAGCCAGCGCCGCTGCCACCTTCTGCTGCCATCTTGGCCGCCCTGCGAGAGCTCCACCCTCAGCAGGCCCTGCCCGACTTGACCGCGCTTTTCCCAAAAAACGTGGCGGTGTTCGGCCCATCGCTGTGGGGGAAACGCTGCGCCGCCTCGTCGGCAAACTCCTGTGCCAGAGCGTGCGTCAGGAGGCCCGCCACTGCGCCTCTTCCCGCTGCAGGTGGGGGTGGGCATCAAGTGCGGTGCAGAAGCTGCGGTGCACACCTCGCGGCAGCGCAATGAGGGCGACAAGGTGCTCCTTAAGGTCAACTTCTCCAACGCCTTCAACTCGGTGCAAAGGAACGCCGTCCTGCGGGCCGCTCGCCGGCAGCTACCTCAGGTCGTGCCCTGGGTTGACTGGTGCTACGGACGTGCTGGGCTCCTTCGCTTTGGTTCAGAAACCATTTTGTCGACTAGGGGGTTCCGACAGAAGTGATCCTTTAGGACCTTTGCTTTTTGCCCTATAGCACTCCAACCCGCCCTCGAAGCTGCTACGGCAGCAGCTCCTCTGGACCTGTGCTTTGCCTACCTCGACGACGTGGTTCTGGCCGGGCGGGATGTCCACGTCCTTCGGGCATTGCAGGCCCTCACTGCTGCGGCTGCACCAACCAAGTGCGAACTGGTGCAAGCCGCCGGGCCTTTCTCGCAAGTCGACCCTGCCGCCTTCCCCGCTGGCTTTGTCGTGCGCGACGCCGGCAACTTTGACCTCCTGTGCGCTGCCGTTGGCACCCCACAGTTCTGCACTCGCCACACGCTTGAGGACAAAGTCGCCCAAGGCCAGTCTTGCCTGGAAGCTTTAGTTGACCTGGCCGAGCCACAGACTGCGCTCCTGCTGCTCCGCTACACGGCTTCCTTTTGCAAAATGGTCTAGTGGCGGGCTTGGCCTTCGCGGTGCGGCCGAACACGCCTGCGCTGCTTTCCTGGCCTCCGTCGCTGCGAGTGCCAGCACCTGCCGCGGACTATAGACCGCCTTTACGACGCGGACTCTGTGGTCACCCGCGCCGCCGCTGAGTTCAACAGCAAGGTGCCCGGCGCCGACCGGGCCCACCTCAGCCTCCTCCGGCAGCCTGCGGCGGGGGCATGGGTGAACGCCAGGCCCGCTCACGCGCTTGGGCTACACATTGATGGGCCCACCTTCTGCATTTTGCTCCGTTTACGGCTTGTGCGATGGTGTGGCGGACCGTTACGGGGATCATGCTCGGGCTTGCCCCTGCGGCGGAGATCCGACATAACCGGCTGCGCAACCTACTGGCAGACTGGCAGTTCGCTGCGAGGCGGCCGGTGTGTCACCGGAGCCCGAGAAGCCCGGCCGCCTCCCTCCTCGCCCTGAAGATGGTGGTGCATGCGAGGCGGGCTGCGTGGGCGTGTCAGGCAGGCGACCTGCTGACATCTTCTTGCCGGCCAGCTGCCCTGGATCTTGCTGTTACCAGCGGCATGCACTCGGGGGGCTTGGCTGCCGCCGCCACAGACGGGGGCCGGACCGCTCGCGACTATGAGTCCCTCCTTCTTTCACATCTTTCGCCCGCCTGTGCCGGGGAGCGGCGCGGCCGTGCCCTGTGTTGCCGGGGTTCCTTCTTTTCTGCCCGTCTGGCCGGGGGACGGCTTGGCCGTATCCTGCGCTGCCGGGGCCTTCTTCTTTTTTTTTTTTTTATTACACGTGCCTTAAGGGACACGGTTTTTCCCCTGCAATGTAAGTTCCTGGACCAAAGGAGGTTGATTTCATGTGTCAAACCGCCCTTTCATTCAGCGGTTCAGCTGACATGTTACACCCGACCCCTCGCTAGACGATGGCGTTTGATCTCGTAGTTTTAACGCTACACCGCCCGCCTCGGCCGCCGCCAATCGTCTGGATCGGCAGCTGCATGATGGCGAGTGCTAGCGGCTGCTAGCGGTTTTGGAGCATGGGTGGCAAGCGAACAGGATTAGGTGGAGGGTACCTGAGATAATCCCCAACACGCCTGGGCCTGTGGCCTCTGCGGATTTGAAGTCGGCCCCTCGGCACGCCCGTCGATTTCGTATCTCAGATCCGCCCCTCATTGGGTAACGGCGATCCTGCATCTTGAACCCGGCCCCTCATCATTCGATGGGGGTTGTTTCCGTATCTTGCACTCGGCTCGGCAGTAGCCGATGGCAGCTGATCCGATACGACAACGCCTTGCTTCGAGCAGGATGTTGGGGTTTAGGCTATAGTCTGGCACTCGCGAGAAAGACCCCAAGCGCCAGATAGATCAGACAGCGCATACGCAAATTGAGCACTGTCGTGCTCCGAGCTTTCAAGAGCTGAAAGTTGGAAGCGATCGAACTCTCAAACTCCCTATCCTTCAAGGATTACAGTTTTCGAAGTTTGACGAGTTCAAACGTTCGAGCTTTCAACCTGCGAGCTGATCGAAGTTTCAGAGATTGACTGTGCAACGTCCTGGAAAGACTTCGAAAGGGATTCACGTCGTATCTCGACGTCATCTCGGGCTCAGCTCCCCAAGTGTCGCGACGGCTTTTCGCGGCCCAGCCTGGACCCCTGGACCCACGCCTCGCTGCTTTAAACTCCAAACTCGGACGTGCGGTTGCTCAATCTCGGGACTTTCAATTCTTAACCTTCAAGCTTTTCGTTCTCACTCTCAACACTCGCTCTCCGTGTGATTCGATTCGAGTTGGAAATACTGGCGCAGAAGGCCCAGTGCTGGGCGTCATGCATAGATGCCCACATGTCGGCTGTAAGTGGCTGAAGCTTCTTTTGTGCGCCATCGCGGCGAGTCGGCTTTGCGAAGGTGCCAACAGCCAGGATCGTGGAGCTCCTGCGCGAGGCAGGGCGCAGAAAACGCGCTCGCGCCCGTGCCGCCCGTGCGTCCCCGGCGCTGCCAAGCAGGTCCCAAAGCCGGAGGTTCAGAAGGTCGAGAAGTCAGCAGCGCTCTGAGGGCAATGCGTGGCTGTCAAGCGCTTGACCGAGCGGTGTTCATTGGAGGTCGAAGTTCCGTCAATCCAGCTAACCGAAAGGCCGGGAGGTTTCACCGTGACGGCGCTTCTCACCTCAGAGCTTCAGAGCGTTTTTGCTGGCTGGGTTTGAGTTGCTTTAGGCTTGTTCGGACCTTTCAGCCCCATGTCCTCAGAAGCCACGAGCTGAAGCAAGTCCTGTTGAAGCACTGCAGAAACGCTTCCCCGAAGTGTCTGGTGGGAAGGGCCAGGGCAGTGTGTGTAGCTGACCCCCATGGCCCAATATGAAGAACGAACTGAGCGACCACTGAAGCCCCGTGAGGCCCGTGAGGGGACTTTGGATATTGCTTCTGTTTGATTCCCAACGAGCTAAAGCCTTGTGTACAAGCATGCCGGGCTGCATAGTCTGTATCAAGAACGGCTCAGAGCACCAGGGCCCCCTAGGGTTTTCCGAAGCCCCGCTTTCCGCGGCCTTTGCCGTGAGGATTGTCGAAGTGCCGAGCGTCGAGGTCCGGGAGACGGCCAGCGAGGTGCCGCCAAGCAGCCGTCGGTCTCAGTTCAAATCTCTCACTCTCTCCCTCTCGGTGTGGCGTGACCAGCGCTTTTGGTTGTGCTTGCATGCGAGGTGGCGAGTGTGGAAGTGCGAGAAGTGGTCCGGCAGGTTCCCAAAGTCGAGGCGCGAGCCGGCTCGGGGCACTTCGCCTCTTGTCTCCGTTCTTGCTGCTTCTTGCTGCTTGGAGGTGCAGTTCGTGGAGAAGAAGATCCCGAAACCCGTCATTCAATATGCTGCTCAGACGAACGTCCCTGTGGCCGGTACTGCTTTTGAGTTGCGTGCTGGCGAAGCTCCGCCAAGGTGGAGAAGACTGTTGAAGTACCACACGTGGCGCCAGCCTGAATCCACACCCTTTGACCATGCCAGTCCGAAACCCCCGGAAAGGTGTACGAAGAGAGGATCGTGGAGGTCCCTGAGATCGAAGTCAAGGCTGAGCAGGGCCTTAGGGATATTTCGTGCACCAGTACTGCATCTGACCGATGCAAGCATACTTTCCATCGTGTGACCACCGCAGAAGGAGAGCGACTTCTGGTCAGAAGTTCCATCATTACTTGTTTGCCAACTTGTCCTGCGCTTCTGCAGCATTCTGCTCTTTGTGGTAGCAGTACTTTGCTGAAGCGAGGTGTCGCTGGTAGTCTAGGGGTCATATACAGCAGAAATAGTGAATGCGACGCTCGCTGTTGTTCCGCCCCATTGGATCTGGTGGCATTTCTGCAGGAGCTCATTCGGCAGGTGCCCGTGCCTGTCATCCAGTACGTGGACTGCCACCCATGATTCTTTTCCGTTGGATTCCATTCTTTCCTCCTAGGCGCCAGTACTGTCCATGGCGTAGATGCGACAACGATTTTCACGTGTAACCTTGCAACTCGTGTCACAGGTCGCAAGTTGCGGAATTGAACTGCTCATTGAAAACTTGCACGAAAGAAGTTGCTCGGAAAGCTCTGGATTGTGTGGCGGTGAGACCGGGATGCTCTCGGTGGGCGATGAACATAGTACGGATTTTGAACATTGTTGAAACGTGGGAAACAAAACCCGAGACTTTGGAACAAGACGCGTCTGATGGCATGTCGGGTTTCATGGCATTGTGTTTTGTCCGTCTCCGTCCAGATTTTGGACTTGGGTTGAAAGCTCCAGAAAGCCGTGGACTGCGGTCAGAGAAGGCTTCTGGATCCCATGGTACAGGCGTCACTTGCAGCTGGGAAGCAGTGACACAGTGGTGCAGTTGTAGCTCTCCCATGCTGCCGCTGCCGTGAGCAGCGTGGATGAAGCGCCTGTGCAAGATGCGATCAGGCGATCAGGTGTCTCGAGACTTCGTTCAAGACTTCTGTGCTGTGAGGGCCAGGGCTGGGAGCTTTTTCGGAGGAGAAGCGCGTGCCGAAGGTCTCCCTGCGGCTCTCGGAGAAGCTCCAAGAGGAGCGCCGGTGGCTTTCTCGCGCCGCCCGCGGCCTGCTCGCGGCCTGCTCGCGGCCTGCTCGCGGCCTCCGCGCGAGCAGGTCCCACAAGTCTTTCAGGAGGCATGGCCGTGGGATGCCGTGGGCTGCGGCCAGGGCCCCCCCCCCCAACCGCGTGGGGCCTCTGTGCCAGGAGCGCGCAATGGAAGTCCAACAGGCTGTGCAGGGCCTCCCCAGAAACTCGGTTCTTCTTCTTGCTCCAAAGACCCCTTCGTTCCAGGCAGTTGGAGTTGATGTTGAGGTGCATGTGCCGAAGGCACGCTGGTCCATGTGATTCGACTTGTCGATTTTCCCAGCCTCCAAGCGAAGGTCATCTACGCGGAGGTTGAGAAAGAGTTTGCGGCGGTGACACTCCAGCCTCGTGAGAAGGCTGCAGCTTGCTCCAGGAGACTGTCATGCCGACCTGATGCCCTCTTGGAGGTTGTGGAGGTGCCTGTGATGCTCAGGGAAGAGCGATTGGTGGAGGTGCCACAGGTGCAATCCGTTCCGGTGGCCGTCCCCCCAGCCTCAGGTCTTCTCACGCCTTCAGAGCCCGAGATGCTGTGCCAAGTGCCAAGGTCACACAGCATCTGCGCCCAGCTGTGGAGGCAGAAGCCACAAGCCGCCGCTTAAGAAAGCGTGCGCGTGGCGCATGTCTCTCGTCAGTTCGTTGAGAAGCCCGTGGCCTTGGCGGAGATCTCCGTGGAGGAGCGCGAGCAGCTGCAGGCCGGGGGGGCACAGCATCTCGTCGGCCTCCCGGCGCCCTTCTTGGGCCCTGGGCCCCTGCTCCAGGCTCAGGCGACGGTGCTGATCGAAGAGGAGCTTCTCGAGATCCCGCAGCAGCAGCTAGTGGAGGTGACGCGCCAGGAGACAGGGCTTTCCTTTGAGCTTTCTGAGCCTCCTCGAGCGGGAAATCGAGACTGAGAGGAGCTGCAGCCCGTGCTCGAGGAGGTGGTGAAAGAGGCGCCAGTCTGCCGCCGCCGGCGGTTGCAGCAACTGTGGTGAGACGTGGAGCTCTGAGGTGCCAAAGTACCGGGTAGAGTACCTGGAGAAAGTGGTCGAAGTGCAGAGCCAAGTCCTCCCACAGGCACCCGGGACGGCAGGGACCGCACCGCACCGCCGCACCGCTTTCTTTGCTTCTTGGCTGCGGCTTGGGCGGAAGGACGGAGATGGAGGACTTCGACTGCAGGAGCGCGAGGCCGCCGCTGCAAGCGAGCTCGGCTTCTCCGCTCCTCTCCTCCTCCTCCTCCTCCTCTGCCTCGTCACCCTCTCAACCCAATCAAAACCACGGTTACTCTGCAGTTGCTTCTCCTTCAGAATCTTCAGAATCTCTGGGCCAAAAATCGTGCCCAGCAAGACCCTTCTGCCGAGAGTGTGCACTAAACGCCTCAACGTTCCTCGCGGTTATAACCACTGCAAGTGGGCCTCAGGGGCACCGTCAGAGAGTTTCGGCCCGCATAGATCACCGGTCTGGCGCGCGGTAAAGGAATCACAGATCGTGCTCCGGAAAGGCGAAAGGCTGCTGGCTGCCCGCCAGCGTCGGCTTCTGACCTCGTCACAGCGCCGCGCCGCCGCGCCGCCGCGCCGCCGCGCCGCCACGCCATGCCCTGTCTGGCCTGTGGCGGCCCTGCTTTCACGTTTGCTGTCTCTTTGTTTTGCGTTTTGCTTGTTGTCTCTTGCCCTGCGCTTCACCTGAACCTTGTGTTCGGAACGTGGCCAAAGCGCAACGTGCACTACCACGAAATGCTGGCAGGAAGCCAGTGCACCCAGCAGCCCGAAATACGGAAATGTGTCCCTGCCACGTGCTCTTGTCTGAAAATCGCAAAAGCACGATTCGACGTTTTCGCGGGCCTAGGCGGGAGCTTGATTTAGCAACCGCCCCGAGGCCAAAAGCGTGCCATTTTCGATGTTTCAGAGTTCCTGATATTTGCAAACCCTGAAATGCCCGCGGCACTTGGGCCGGTGAGACCGTCAGAACGGGAACACCTAGGCAAGCATTGACGTGGTCACCAGGTCATTGATTTCCTCTACTAGCAGAAGACAGCTTCCAAACAGAAAAAGCGCGCTACCAGCTCTCGGTCTGCGAACACCCGAACACCTTTTCACTTCACTGGGCAGTCAGCCAAGGGCACATCCGTAGAGTGTAGAGCAGAGAATCTGCAGGGTCAGGTGGTGTCAGTGTCGACCATCGCGGCTCTGAAAGCCGCCAACGACTCTCCTGTCCGGAGCAGGCCATTCTGTTCGAGCGGCACTCGTGCTCTGTGTCCAAACTCGACTCGACTCGTCAGCTCTCACAGCCTCTCCGCGCTCTCCCGCACCGTCTCGCGCTCAGATTTCTCACCACTACGCCGCAATGCGGCGCCCTAGCCCCTTGCCGCAAAAGGTCACACTGGAAGAGGAGAGCTGCCCCAGCTGCGGGCGCGCACGCGTGCCAGGGCCTCGAAGCCCGAAACGTCCTCCCTGTGTTTCTGTCTGTGCACTCTCCATCTACATATCTTTGCATCTACACAACTGTCCAGGTCTATCCATCTAGCTACTGGCAGCTGGCACGCTGTCCATCCATCTATCTCTGTCTGACTCTGTACTGTAGAGCAGAGGCTTTTAACTGACTCTGTGCAGTTGCAGAACGAACTTCGCCGCTACGCCTTTTGCTTCGCCTTCGCCGAGGACCGGATCCCGTTTTTGCCACGCTTGCGGCCACCGCTTCGAGACAGTGACACAGTGACACAGCAGCAGAAAGCGGCACATTCGGCGCCGCAGTTTTCGGCGCGTCCTTTAAGGGCCGTCTTAGGCCTTCCTTCCGCGGGCTGCAGTGATGCAAATGCACACGTTTAGCCGCGTTGCCTTTATGGAGCTTGGCCGGGCTGCGGGCTTTCAATCGTTTTTCCGCTGTGGATCCAAGTGTCTGCCGCTGTCCAAAAAGGGTCGTCGTGCTAAGCTGCTGAGCTGCTATGCTGCTAAGCTGTGATGCGCCGTGGCCTTGGCCTCTAGAGAATCCTGTCGCGCATGGACAGCTGGCCGGCAGAGGGTCCTCGTACTAGTGTCAGTGTGTCAGTCATGAAGATCGTAGGACTGAGTCACCGAGTCACCAAGCAGGGACTGCGGAGGTCGTTCTTTCGAGGTCTCGCCGGTAGCGAAAGCAGAAGCTGGGAGTCAGCCCGTTGTGTGAGCCATGGAAGCGAAGGCCATCTGGTAGCTCAGGGGAAAGAAAGTCTCTAAACTGCGCAGAAGCCCAGCCGGGCTCGAAGGCGAAGAACGTGTGCCACCAGATGGAGATCTGGAAGCAGCTCATCGACACGGAGCTGAAGCCCGATCCTGAGGGATAGCTGAGCGCAGCGAGTAGGCGAGTAGTGTGAGAAGTTCCGCCGTCTGGGAGGACGGCTGCGAATTGGGAAGGCCAGTGGGGATTCCTCAAAGCCGAGGCCGGAGCCGAGGCCGCAAATTCGCATGAACAGAAATTTTCTGCTGCTCGACCGGCTCATGCTCAGGGCGGTGCACCGCCGGGCAAGGCACGGGCCCCGGCCCGGGGCCGGCATTTGGGCCTCTAGTTGGCGATTGCCGCCAGGTAACCCGCTCCTCTTCGACGCCAAGCCTTCCGAAGGACAAGGCTGGGAAGGAGAGAGCAGAGAGGAAGGCGGGGTGGTGGGAGCAAGCTGCAGGCCATGGAGTACTTCACCGGCCGCTCTGCTCAGAGTGCTTGCAATCACTTGCATGCTTCGCATGCGCCGCCATGCGCTTCCTTTTTTTGAGTTTTCCATTATAGTCATACAATGCACCCACGACCCCTTTCTGGCCTCCACCTCCCAACAGTCTTTCAGGTACCCGGGCCCGGGCAAAGTTGGACCGCTCTGAGGCACATTCCGTTCGCATCGTGTCGCTTCGCTGCTTCGCTGCTTCGCTGCTTCGCTGCTTCGCTGCTTCGCTTCGGCGCCTCGCAGGCCTTGCGGCAGCGCAAGACACTCACGCCGCAGGAGCGCTACAGCTGCTGGGCGAGTACTTGTCGAGGTTTTTGCACGTAACTTCACGAGCATCGAGCATGCGTGTTAAAGCTTTCGAAGTGAGGTTCCATGAGAATCACCAGCCACGAGATTGGCTGGCGGCCTTCCATTGAGAGGTTTGGCGTCAGCCTGACGCTGAGAGAAACGACGCTGAGGGTAGCGTATGTCAGACTGTAGAGTCGTGGAGGTCATCATGGCATCAAGCGGGATCCGGGCATTTGGCCGGACTACTGAGCACACTGAGAGGCTGGGCGAGCCCAGCGAGCCCTGAGCGAGCCCTGAGCCCTCCCTGAGGGATGGCAGCACAGAAAAACGGGTGGCTCTCACTTGTCTCTAATCTCGAATCTCTTTGAGCAGCCCGACGGCGCGCTTGCACCGGCTCTCAGCAGCAAGTCTGTGCCGACGCCACAGGCCCAGGGAACCCGCAGGCCAGGCACAAGACTCCGTTCGCCTCGTCGATCTGCGGTTCGTAGATCAGGTCCTTGGCATGCAGGGCCCCGGCCCGCCCGCACCCGGAGGGCCCATGGCCCCTCGGCAAGAGAACGGGAAAGGGAGAGAGAGGAGTGCAACACCGAACAGCATGGATCAGGCGCCAATGATGTGGGGGGGGGGGGGGACTGAAGAAAACGTATAGTGATGTCAATGTGCACTGGGGGGATGTTACTAACACGGCCATGGTAAGCTAACAGACTTAGCAGTAAGGTAGTCGGAGTTACCCGGAACTTACAATCGCAGATTTACAGGTTTTCGAAACTACATATTTATTTTAATATGTATACGAGTTATGTGTACGTATTTTCTGCGGCTCGACCGCCACAACTTGTCGCGCACGTTTGTCGGGGGTGAGACTCTATGAGACACATTCCGTGTGCGTGCGGCTCAACCGCAGTTTTGCACGTTGCAACCTGCGGCTCAACCGCAGGGTTGGCCTGTGTGCTAATCAGCTTGATAGCTCCATCGTCGCTGCCTCCGCCTTTTGGTGGTCTGTCCGACATCAGATGGTGGCATTGCTGCGTTTTGACCGCCATACACCTCTGCACAGAAGAAAATGCACAGTCTGCGGCCTGACCGCTTCGGTTGCAAGCATTCATACTTGTTGTCGCGCGCGACCCCTGCGCAAGCTGTCAAAGTCGTGTGTCGTGCAACTGCGCCGCTGTGGCCCACAAGTAGTGTCAAGAAGCACACACTTCGGTGAAAACGCTGGGCACCCGATCCGGCTCACATCACGCGTGCGCGGTCGGATGCATGGTGGCACAACCACCATGCGCGAACGAGCTCAGCACGCAAGCCCTTCAAGGAGCCTGCAGCGGTTTTTTTTTTGCGCAGGAGCTCGACGTCCAGGTCGTCCTCGACGACCAGCTGCTGCGAAGCCGCTTCGCGGACAACCGCTTCAGCCTGGTTGAGGAAGAGCCGCAGCTGCTTCAGCGTGTTGGTGCGGGTTTCGTAGGCAAGGGCTGTTCCCTGCGGCCTCCTCCAGACCCACTTCGGCGCGCGAGCAGCCGCTGTTTCGTCTGCCGGACCACCGGCAAGTTCTTGGTCGCTGCAGCCAAAAGAAAGGCTCGAAAGTTTACTGCGCCGCCTTCGCAACCCTGCCATGCTTCTTCTGCTCCTCCTTGGCTGCTTTGGCGTGGGCCTTCTGCTCTTTCGCACACAGCTTCGACGGCTCTACCGTTGGTGGCTGTGCTGCCTGAAGACCCCGGCAATACGTCCCTCCTGCGACTCCTGCGCTTGACCTCAGCTTTGCATTTCGTCCGCTTGCGTGGGCTGCTGGTCTGCGGGAGGGCAGGAGCTAGTGGGCAAATTTCAACGGACGTCGCGCTCCACCACAGTGTGCACTTGCATGCGAGGAGAACTTGTAGGTTAAAGACTTGCTGGGGCAGCCACACCTGCAGCGGCAGGTAAGGTCCCGGAAGGCGTTTCCCTCCTCCCCTTTGAAGGCCTCCTCCCAGCACTGCTGCCCCGCAGCTTTTTGAGAAGACTTCGTTCTTCTCCTCCTGAGTTATGGATTCCGCGATGTGGCGCTGGACCGTCGGAGTCGTGTTCGTGGCGGCAGTGCTTCTTCCCATTTAACCGGTCGATGCCCGAGGGCTGCGGCTCGACCGCCTCTACCGGATTCTCGAACTGCGAGTCCAGCAACTACGTAGCCTGCTCTTCTCCTGCAACGCCATGTTCAGGGCCGGTTTCAAGCTAAACTACAGAAGGCTGGGAACCCAAGCGCTGCAGCAAAAAAGCCTATCTGTGACCACGATTTAATGTCCTGGGACAAAAAGCAACATTTCATTCCGGCCAAGATCTTGAAAGTCAAAATATGTCCGGCGGCATTTAGTGGCACTTGGCGACATTGGTCCATGTCGGGGCCCCAGGATCTGAACGTCCCCGACGAGTCATACAAGTGGTGGCGACATTTGGCGACAGCGCGTTCCCAGTACCTGTGAAACGCTGACATTTAGCGACATTGGCCCCGGCCATGTCTTTGACAGTCAAAATATGGCATATGTCCGGCGACATTTAGCGAAATTCAGGTTTTGTGCGTTTTCGATAAAGTTCTGCGGCGCGACCGCTCGAATGGATGTTTTCCGAGGTCTGCGGCTCCACCGCCCTGGTGCGGAAACTGTGTCTGCGGCCCATCTGACCGCCATGACACGCCAGAAAACACAGCACTTGTTCTCTTCCAAACCGCGCGGACTGGTCAGATCTCTGCGGGCCTTTCGTGCCCAGGACCGCTGCGGCAGCAGCGCGAGAATGTACTTCCTGCCGCATCCGTTGCTGGACGGGCCCTCTGTGGACGCAGATTGCCGCGGCGGCTGGCTGAACTGGCACTTCCGCCTGCGACAGTAAATCTTCCTCACTCGGCCCTCAGCCAGGGGAACGGCAGCTCGGAACGGGCCACGACGCGCGTTGCCGCATCTGGTTCTCTCGTGAGGGGGCCATGCGACTCTGGTGTGACCGCAATCCTTCATGGGGAAGCAATTCACTTACTTCGTTTGCGTGGAGGATATTTCCTTGGACGGCCACCGTAAAGCTGCAACCGTACATCGCAAAGTTCTTGTTGGCGTATACCCTTTCCAGATCGTGAGCTGCGCAATGGGCATAATCTGGGAGGCCCCGGTCTCCGGGCCCACCTGATGCTCGCACATGCCGTGGAAGAACCCTGCCATCGCCATCCTCGCACTCGTCGCAACTGAAATAGTCTTCATGGCTATCGCACGCACAGCGCTCAGGGCTCGTAAACACAAGGCAGTCGAACGGCAGCGAGGAGGTCTCCCTGCTGAGCACAGTAGGTGTCTCGCCTAACTATGGTCAAATCGGCTACGAGTAGACCGCCGCCCTTCGGTGGGAAGCTCCTGGCCCCAGTGTTGCGACACTCCACCATCTTTCATCGTGACGCCTGTGCTCAAATCTCTCGGACCCTTGGAAACCCTGGCAGTCATGTTCATGCACGGAACCGCAGGCACTGTCTCCGAAGGTGCTGCAGGCCTGAAGGCAAATGCCAACATGAACATGCCAGCGCTGCTTCCTGCACTACCGATCTCCTTTCCACTGCAGGCGCGGCATGGCGTCCAACCGACCACTGTCCGCAACACCCTGCCATCATCCATCATCGGTAAGAGACAGGACAAGCGTCTAAACATTAATTATGCCCGCTCAATGCAGCTGGTGGTCTCCTCACGACGCGAGCTCGGTAGCCAGGGTTTCGGCTGCTTGTCAAACGCACGGGGTCCCTAGATCGAACACACAACATTGAGGGGGAGTGCACGTGTGCACCTTGTGACAAGTAGAGCGAGCAGAGCTGAAGGTCGTGTGTCCTGTCAGCAGCTGTGCCTCTCGAGCTATTCTTTGTAGCAGCACCTGTTAGAGCTCTGCGACGCCACGGCAGCATTCCGTTGGGTCAAACCACACCTGCTTTGCGCAGACGCGTTTCTGACCCTGGCAGGAGCAAGACAGTCGGCTAACAGGTGGCTGAGTCAGGCCACACCGCTAGCAGCCTTGGAAGGTTCCACAAATGGCCTCGGGGTGTTCCGGACAACAGTCCCTGCTAGTCTCCTCAGCAGAGTTGCCACTACCAAGGCATGCATATTTTGGCTTGAGATGCTCAGCCTGGCAGTAGTCTCCAGGACCCTGTCAGGAGATGTGATATGCTTCGTGGACAACAGTGCCAGCGAGCACGCACTCAGGAAAGGATACGCAAAGGATGCGGGACTCACCAACTTGTTAGGTTGGTTTTGGACCTGGGTGACTTCCAAGAGCCTCAACGTTTTCTTTGTTGGGGTGTCAAGCAAAGCTAACTTGTCAGACGCTGCGTCGAGGGGTGACTGGAGGTGAGCTGTAAACGCTGTGACCCTGACCTTCAACAAGCATGGAGTCTCCTGTTAATTAGACCTCACCGAGGAGTCCGTTGAACCCGACGCGGCCCTGTTCGAGAAACTGGTCGACCTGGTAGCCTTGCCACCGGCCGCCCAGTAGCGAGCCGCGCGTGTGAGTGGTCGTTCCGCGCGGAGTGGCGATACCGGACCGACCTGTTTGGCGTTCAAAGGCTAGAGCAGGGGTCTGCGACCCGACGCCACGACACTCCACGGGTAGTGGAAAAGACCGAACGTCTGTTCTCCCGTTCGTTGTGAAGGTGTAGAAGCGAGACTTGTCAGCCTGGGGCAAAGGAATGGGTCACTTTCGTTACCCGAAGGAGTACACTCCTAGCGTGTGTCTCACTGCGGCTCACAATGCTCTCAACGTGTGGGACTTTCGATGCATCACTGGAAACTGGCTCGCGCACGGGACGGTGCGAGCTGCCATTCGGCGTCAAAACAAGCTCCTGTGCTCTAGATCCGGCGGCCTGGTCAAGTCGTTGCACTCTCCCTCTTGCGCAAGATCCGGAGCCTCGGCAGAATGAATGCCAAACTGGAACAAAGGCAAGAGGTAGTGCCCTGCCTCATTGGTCTTGAGATGTAATACCCCGAAACCGGGGATCTCTAAAGTGTCATTGAATAATCACGTTTGGCTTGCAATTGCCTCAATGCTCGGTTTGAATGGAGGGCCGGTGCCTTCCCAGAATGACGGAGGCCTGCACAAAACCATCCTGTTCGCCACTGGGCATGGGATACTTGACCGCGTAACCAGCCGTGGTCTCACCGTTGGTCACGATTAATCCCTTCAGAACTGGTTTCGGAAGGCCCCTTTTCTGGAACGAAGCTGCCCCCGGTGACGCGTTGCAGTTCCTCGTTCCACTTCTTCATGTTCTGAACCTACCAAGGTGGATGTGCAGCTTGTGTCCCAACTGGCACGCCCAGGAGGAGTCACAAGACAGCACGCTTCAACCCGAGCACTTGCAGCCGAACGTAATCCCAGTAGATCATCCTGTGCAAGGCACTGGCTCACAAAATTTTCGGCTGAGGCTGGAGCAGGTTTGGAACCGATCGCAACCTCCTAATCCAAGGTGTTGCCGGAGTGGACTGCCATAATGTGGAGTTTTTGCTGAAACTGCACGGATACTGGCATCGAGGGATAAGGTGTCGTCAGGCGTATTTGCCGTCGCCGTGCCGAGGTATTGTGCAACGGTCGGCTCATTCTGAGCACCCTGTCGCTTTTCTGAAGGCTTTCCTCTTCGCTTGCCCTTCGGCTTTCGGTCGCGGCCTGGCGGAGGTGTCTTCTGGCGCGGACGTCCTTGCGAATAGGCGAACGCCTCTGCTACCCATGTAAGTCGCCAGACCGCCCTGTCAACGAAGAGGATCTGGACTGGCTGGTCGCGGTGGCCATCCTTATGCCCGACATCTTTCCACGATGGAAGCTGGGTTGCTTTTTGGCATGACCTTGCCTTGGCCACTGGGTTCTCTGAAGCCCCTTGCCTTTCGCAAAGCCATCCACTTCTGCCGGGCTTCCAGATAACCCAACATCGCTGAGTCGCATTCTTCATCCTCTTCCACGGCCTCGCCAGCGTCGCCAGCATCTTCTACCTCCTCATCTTCGGCGAACATCTCCATCCGAGTCGTCATGAGATTCGTCTTCTTCGTCGTTGTTGCTGTCGTCATAGTCGTCGCCTTGGCCGTCTGCCAGAAAGCTGTTTTGCTCTGCTTGCGTTGTGATTCTCACGGCCACCGTTGCATCAAAGCTCCGTCTTCCTAAGAAGGCCAAGGCACGGTTGGCAATTCCAAGTTTAGGGATCCTGAATCTCAACTGCCTGCCCATCCTTGTTTCGTCAAGGACGGGACGGCGCGCAATCTTAGCCGTAGCAGTGCCGAACATGTGGAGAGTGTTTTTACCTCTTCTTGACTGGCGAGAAGTTTGTGTGTGAAGCCTATCTATGCAGAACTTCCCAACGACTTCGTTCGTGATCAAGGCTATATGATCCCGATACCATCGTCCACCTTCACAGGTCAATCGTGGAATCAGTGAGGCCCCTCTAGCTCGGCATCGGAGGTTGATATCGGAGTTAGAGGAGTGTGGTTTTCAACAAGTTCCTGCAGACAGGTGCGTGTACGTACTACGGAGTAAGAAGAACGGCCGTGTTCTGGGAATAGTGCGTGCTGATGTGGATGAATTGGTAATGACAGGTTGCACGGTTACTGAGGGCCCATAAGTAAGGTATGATGTTGCCCACTACGCTTCGTACGGCACCAAGCCTGAAAAGCAACACTTAGCTAACCTGCGGACAATTGGCGCGCACCCTTAAGAGTAGAGAGCAAACCGTGACGGTTCCAAGGCTTACAGACTCTTGGGACGACATGACTCTTGTAGTGTTCCCAGATGCAGGGCATACGTCACGACCCTCAGGTCATTCACAGGCTGGCACCGTTGTTTTCTGGGCTTCCAAGGAGGTATCAGGGCAAGGAAGGTAAGGCCAACTTTGCCGAGTACCCTAGCACTAAGTTTGACGGTGCAGCATGGTGGTCGTATGCTAGTGATCTTCAAGCGGCTACCTGGCCCTACACTGCGCTGTGTGTCACCAACGTGAACATACGTATCCAGACGGTCTTACAAAGGCTTGATTCTCGAGGAGGATCGTGCCATTCGCATAACGTACAATGAGACATCTGGTAGGAGAGAGCGGCAACTACGTGCACTGGAGCCTAGTAGGCCTGCATCCAAGGATCTTGAATCATCAACAGATGTTTAGTAGGGTCCTTGGCTTTGAGCATTTTTTTTGGTTTTGTAGAGCTCGCAAGAAACTGCTCAGTGGCACCCATATTGTTTAGCAGTTACGAAACCACCAGTTTCCATCCCCCACAACAGTCGTTTCTGATTGTTTAAGACATATGCGAGTGCAGGGCAAGTTACGAAGGAGTATGGTCCCGGAGCAGAGTGAGCATGTCCGGCAGTGTTGTTGCGGTCGCGGAGGGGGGTGTGAATGAATCTAGACTATCAGGCTATCAGCCATTGCTTGAAGGACCGCCAAATGCTGACCGGCACGGCTCAAGTGTGTGCAAGAGCGTGTCGTTTGGTGGAAGCTTTCGTGAGCAGACATGCATTAGATGTATTACCGTTTTATCTTGATACTGTTCGAAAATAGTCCTTACGTTGGTGAGCCTTTCATGCATCTACGTCAGATCAGTACTGCATATCGTTGCGTGCCTATCAACAGGAGAATTTTAAGAGGAGAGGAGAGGAGAGGAGAGAAGAGGAGAGATACTGAGTAGTTCAGCCGCTCGTGCGGGGCTCCTTGGGCGAAAGGGGGATGGGGTTCGCGCCTTGCGCTCAGCAGCAACACCAGAGAGATGCAGATGAAAGAAGCGTTTGATCCTTTCAGATCTTCATCTGCATGAAGCCTGGTGACCGATCCATAATTGAGCGCTGTTTCAGGTTGGCGCACCGTGGCAGGCGAAGAAGGGATGATCTTGGCACAGAAGCACAGTTGCGCGTGGCCTCTAAATTCCAGGGTGGCCCGCCGCAATACTTGCAGGCGCGAAAGCTAGGGATTGGTGTGAAGTGCACAAATCTGTGCCATCATAAGAAAGTACAATTCGATAGTAGCTTACCCGCATAGTATATACATATATACATACATATATATATATACATATACATATATACATTGATACATATATACATATACACATACATGCACGTATACATGTATACACATGTACACATATACACACATGTAAATGTTCATGATTGTGTTGTGTTCAGGGCCCGGCTCGAGGGCCGCCACCTATCCGAGCCCTTGTTCCAGGCACAGCTGCGGTCTGCGGTCGGGAGCGGTCGGGAGCGGGAATTGTGTGCGCATGAACGGAGGCGTTGGTGGCGTTCCTCCGCCCGGGCCTGGGCTCCTGGGCCTGGGCGCCCCCTCCGGGCTCGGGCCGGGGCGCCCGGGGTCGCTCCCCGGCCCGCCGCCGCCAGGCGAGGCCTCAACTCTGCACTTTCTCTGCGCCCTCTTTCTGCATGTGAGGTCCTCCGCCGATGCAAGGACGGCACCTGACGCCATGAGGCCCGGCCATGCCATGCACATGTCGAGCTTTTCTGACAGGCCTCCGACCAGGTTTGTCCGAGCCCCGGAAACAGTCCGTCCGCATTCTTGCGAAGCTCTGACGCTGCGCAGGGGACTGCAGCTCCCACCCGGTGTCACGGCACCGGTTCGGGTCACAGCTCCGCAAAAGACTGTGTTGTGCGTTGCGCAGCTGTGCTTGCAATGCAGCGAGCAAAGGGGAGCTTTTTGGGCCTCGGCGCACCCGGGGACCCTCCGACACCACGGCGAAAGAAATAACATGCACAGCATGCACGGCATGCACATCGCAGCTCTCCTGTGTCGGAGGACTCTGGATCCCGATCCTTGGAGCAGATGCGCGCAGAGGTGAACAGAGCCAGGGGCCAAAACCAACGCACACTAGCAAGCAGCAAGCAGTACTCCCAGTGCTCGTGCAAGGTGGAGCAGGTGTGCAAGCAGCATGCAGCAGAAGCCAAAGCCTATGTCGGCAAGCGTCCCGGGCTGTCGCCAGTCTTCAGCTCGTGAGAAAAGCGAAGTGCCTCTGTTCTTGGCTCAAAGCGGCCCCGGGACAGCGGGCAAGCAGCCATGCAGTCTCGAGGTCGAGAAGCGGGGACGAGATGGGAGTACAGCTTCCCGAGGTTGTGACAGTGGCAAATGGGCTTGACTGCGCAGGGAGCGAAGCAAACCTGGTCTCAGCCGTGCGGGAAGCTGCTAGCGAGGTCTGACGGCGGGGACTGGGACAGTGTAGGGAGCAGATTGCCACTGTGCAGGCGTCCGGGAGTTCAGCACCCTCTCGATGCAGCAGCGCCGATCGCTTACCAGCCTGCTCGAAGCGCGCATCCAGTCGCTGTAGTTTCCTTTCTGCTGTTGAGGAGATCTTTTCGCGTCCTCGACGGCGACATCGCTCGCGCAGGTGCATATTCGCTCGCGCCTGCCAGGCGCCTTAAGCGCTCACGCTAAGGGACGAGGGCCTGACTCTGGAGCAGCAGCAGAAGGCGGTGCAGGAGCCGAGACGCTCGGCCCTGGGTTCGGAGTTCAGTTGCAGCCCTGCAGCCCTGCAGCCCTGCAGGATGCCGCCTTCCAGCGCTACTTGGATTCCTTGCGAGCAGATGCCAAGAAGGCGCATCGTGCAGGGCAGGGCCGGCAGGGCGAGTCCAGCTAGAGACGTGGAGTCGAGCCTCGAGTTGCAGGCCGTGGTCGAGGCCCAGGCGCGAGCCCGCGAGCCTCGGCGCCTGGCCTTGCACTTGTGTCGTCTGTGTCGCCGCAGGCTTGGCAACAGACTGTGCAGGGTGGGATGAATGATGTGCCTCGTCGGATGCGGAAGCATGGAAGCATTGAGAAGCGCACGCAGTCCTCTCGTCTCTGCCTTCAGGAAGCAACGGAGCGCCTGCAGAAGAAGGACCTTTGTGCCAAGAACCAGGCGCAGGCAGGGGAGAGACTGAGAGACGAGACTCGACAAGTCCGAGCGCTTCCCTTTCGGCTTGGCAGGTCTTGGCACAGATCGAGAACAACAAGGCGCGGGCCCGGGCTGCGGCCGGAGTCGCGGGGTCACTTTCGCCCCGCCGCCCCGCCGCCCCGCCGCCCCGCGGCCTCTCTCTGCAGCTCTTCGCAGGCGCGCCGCGCCGAGGCGCGCAGGGAATACATCGAGGCGATGGGTCGAGAGGGGTGCGGCCCCCCCCACGGGTCTCACACGGTCTGAGCGCTTCTCAGGCCGCCTCGTCGCACAGTTTCCCTCTCTTCACAGAGACCTTCATTTCTCTTCCCGAAGTGGAAGAGCAGCTGCGCTGCAATACTTCTACCACGCGGTACTGGTAGGAGAAATGAGACTGACGAGGTACGAAAGGCAGCGCAAGGAACACTGGAGGATGGAGCTTGACCAACAGATGGTCCGAAGCCTGGAGAAGTGCGAGCATCTGCAGCTGGCTCTCAGAACGTGTTGAGAATGTGTGTGTGTGTGTCTCTGTGCGTGTGCGTGTGCGCGCCTTAGGCAACGAACAAAATCTTGCAGAACCTGGAGCTGAAAAAACACCACGACGGGATCCGAGCTTCTCCCGACTTCCATTTCGGTAGGTAGGCCGCTGCCGATACTGCTGCCGCTTAAGGACATGGCCTTGGCATCCTACAAGGAAAATGTGAAGCGAACGCCTGGACCTCAAAGCAAGGTTGAGATGGGCATGGCTTGCTGTAAGCTTGCCGGCTTGCCGTTTGCTTCGATTCTTACCCGTGATTCAAGCGGGTCAAGAGCGGGTTTTGGGGTCTCTGGAGTGCCGCACTTCACCGCACTTGGCACAGCGCTTATTGGGCCTTAAGATTTGATCGGGTGTTCAACGGGCGCTCGGCGGAAAGGCTGCGCATGCACATGAGTGCATATACATATATATATATATATATATATATATACACATACAGACAGATGTATGTATGTAATCAAAGGAGTAAGTAGAACCTACATATAGATATATGAGTATATATGTTGGCGAAGCCAGATCAGTTGCCATTCGACCGCACGTATGTGGCGACAAAACAAATCCTTGCGAACACTTTATAGTTCTGCTTCCTGTCGTCTCCAGGAAGGCTTGACATCGCTTGCAAGCACCAACTCACTCTACGAGTAGCAACCGGCGCTCTGCAGACATGCATTTTCAAGCCATGTCTCAACTTGTACTTCGCGCCAAGTGTCATCAAGCCTAACGACGGGACGAGAAAAAGGAACAATAGTACAATATTCCGACATAAATGTTGAACACTTGATGTTAGCAGAAAGCTGAACCAACATTTGATATATGATATGTGTGAATGTCACCTCGATACTTACATGTGCAGCTTGAGTGCGTGCCTTTTGTTATGCATTGGTCTAGGTAAACAGCTTATGTACAGTTGTATATGTTTCTGCCGTTGCCGTTACGACTCGAAGGGCCCTTGAGCTAGAGTGCAAAAAGTAGCTGTGCCATTGCGTTTCAGATTCAAACTGGTAGCGGAGCTGAACACCTCCCTAGAGGCCCTAGAAGGCGAGGTGAAAGTTCCAGTGAAACCTTTGGCCGCACATGTTTTCGTTCGGACCGCAAGGCTGAGCCCCAAGCATCAGTGTGAGTCAGGTGGGAGGAAGGACGGAAGAGTGCATTGACAGTGTGTTTGCAGAGGAAGAGAGAGTGAGTGTGCGCGATCGGGGATGTCGGTCGCAGGTCTGAAAATTCAGGCTAGCACTTACTCGGCTGCGCCGATAGTCACCAAGAATGGTGTCTTCATCTACGATGGGAGTCCGGCAAATAAATTTTCATGAGTGGCAGTTTCGCACTGAACTGCGCATCGCAGTGTGTGAACAGAAGTGCAGGCAGTTGAAACGAGAGAGAAAGAAGAAAGCAGAAGCCGACAGCTCGTTCACTTCATCTAGCAAGCCGGAGACAGGAAAGAAGGAGAAATCCCCAAAACGTAGAACGCCAGGTTCTGATCTGGAGTGAGGCCCACGATCAGAGAGTAGCGTGGAGCAGCACGACGACGACGAAGAGTTGAGACGAAGCGACGATCCGGAAGACGACGACGAAGACGAAGAGACTGAAGCCGAGCAGCGCATGGAGACAGTACTGCGGGTTTTAGAGGGATTAAGGGGAGACGCTTTCCAAAAGGCGAAGGACTTGGGTGTCACTGATTTGGGTGCAAAAGGAGGTCTTCAAAGACTCGTAGAAGAAATCAAACTGATGGTGTTCCCGCTAGGCACCCCGGTACCTTTGGGGCATACCGGATCCCCTGACCAATGTCCTAGCTGCCCGCATTTCAAACACTTTGACCTTGCTTTGATCTCTTGAAGGCGCTTCTTGCGATCCTCAATTGAGAGCTGCGACTTAACCGCCGGAAACTTAGAGGACTTCCCTTGGGATTTCCCCTTCGACTTACCCTTACTAACCGCTTGCCTTCCCAAGCGCGGCATACGCGGCACACTGCAATTGCACCGCCTCGGCAAATGCCGCAAACGAGTCGGGACTCGTCGTTCCGTCCGGATTGTAAATCTCGCACTCTTCCATGCAGTTCAATGCGATGGGCACTTCTTCGTCTGACACTTCTGGGTCTTCTTGCACGCCGATGTATCCACTCCAGGCTGATGTTCGTACGATACATCATGCTCTGCCCATGCTGTGTATCCCTCATAGGGACTCTCATTCTCACCATGTCCTGGGCTTGCATCGCTCCAAGACTGATCTTAATGCGCGCTGTGGTCTCCATAGTAGGCTTGGGGGCTTCCTTCATCGGTGGCCTGGTATGCAGTCTTACCAAAACCTCGGCCAAATCCCTTAGGGCCTTGTCCTTTTGGGTTCTTACCGCCCTTTCCGGAACTCAGCATACGGAACCGATCATCAACTGCTGATCGAACGACAACCCGCTCAATTCCAACAAGAGCTCAGCTCGAAGGCTGTCTGACAGTTGAATCCGGGAATCAAGCTGGCGCATGAGAAGCCACCATCGTCGCCTTCGTCCGATGTATGAGACGACACTCTCTCGTCGGGTTGACGGGATAGGGGCCCGTTGACTGCTTGGCCACTACGGAAAAGCCACCGGCCGCAACCAAGCCCCAAGCCTTCCTAGCAGACATGTCCGCTTCGTCAGAAGATGATAGCCCGTGCATCATGATTGGACATTCGGGTCATTGTGAGAGAACGGGCTACATGGCTGTCAGGAGTGGCAAGGGATACGCAAGCCCCCAGAAGACAAGCCCAGTGAAGAGAGAGAAAGGCCAGATTCCTCCAGGAGGTGACGCCATCTTTGAGTGTGGGCAACATCAGTGTCTCAGCTACGATGAGATCGTGCATCGGTTTCCGGGTTACGTGACTTGGGGCAGGACCCAGAAATCTTCATCGTTGTATCTCGCGCGGTTTCTGGACTATTGCCAGAACAACTACATCATTGATCATGAAACCATGGAAGTGCAAAGGCGAGAGATTCCTCTCGACCGAATGCCACCGCCACCTGCACCGGCCCAGTCATCAATCGCAGTGCCGGCGCAATCCGCGCATTGCAAAGCTAAGAAGAAACCCCCGAACCCGCCATTGCCTGTGTCGTGCAAGCAGTGTTCAGACTTCTCCAGGCCTACACCATGCTCACATGCAGAGATTGCGGTAAGGTCACAAAGACGAAGGTTGAGAGAGAGGTGAAGGACATTGAGCAGCGCAAGCGCCGGAACACAAGCAAGCTAGGGTCGAGAAAAGCTGTGTCAAAGGTCTTTTGCAAAGACTGCGGTCATGTGATAGATGAGATGCCTAGAGAAGAGGCCAAGAAGCGACAGGAGGTTGCAACGAGCGTGGAATCAGCATTGTCCATCTCCTTTGATCTTGTGTCATCAATCCACAGGTCTGTGAATGAGGATGTTTTTCTTGTCCCAAAGGAAGTCGTTCCTATGATCGACGAGTTTCGCACTCATGTTGAAGACCACATGAGCGACCGCGTTTATTTGGTCTTATTATGTTAAGAGTACAGGCGGACATGGTAGTACCGATT